AAAATCTACTGCTTCCGTTTGCAGCTGAGAGAAAAATTTGAGAAATAAGTTAGCCTGATTCAAATTTTTTTCCCCCAAAAAATTGTCTCATTTTGGCACAGCTATAGACACAGTTTTTCCAATTTTTTCAATATTCTTTTCTTTTTAAAAAGGTTTCTGGGAAATATTAAAAATTAAGTTGTTTTATACAAAAACCCAATTGACTCAAATTTAATTTGATCATTCATCAGTCTGATAGACCACCATGAATAATCCTCAAGAGTTGAAATTATTGAAGGAAACTTCAGAGGTGTGGTTTCGAGCATAGTGTATAGTTTTAAGTTGTCAGCTCAAAAATAACTGAAAGGCCAAACGAAATTTGTTTAGGCACTGCACCTGAAACAATACATATTTGAGAATCACCCATAGTTGAATTGCATTTATTAATTGAGGAAAATCACCTATTTTTCTTCAGTTAAAATTTAGAGCATACAATTTATTTTAAAATAGTCCTTTCCCTTACGAAAAGTAAAATTGCGCCGCACAAATAAATATTTCTACTATTTTTTAAGATAAAATTTAAGAAATTATGCAATACAATTTGAATAAAAAAAATCTAGAATAGTTTTGAGCTCTTAAACAGTATAAAATTTGATTATTTTTTTCATGCAAGTGTGATTCTGAATTTTTTTGAAATTAATGGCTGGCGTCGCCACTTTAGATGGTCTCGCTTCTTCTCATCTTCACTTTAAAGAAAGCACACATCATCGTGGCGGTATTTGAGCAGATTGGCGGCAGCGCATCCACCGCGAGGCCCCTGCTGCTGTAATATGTTTTTTATCCCGCATATCCATCTATAAAGAAGAGAGAGAGAGGATGGATGGAAGCGCGGCTGCTCTTTTGTCTTTGACATAAGGCGCCTCTCTGTGCCGCCGCCGTGTTATTTTCTTATTATAACGGCAGCACACAGAAGTTGAAAAGATCAAGCAGAAAGAAAAACACATCTCATTCAACACCCTGCCATATAAATATATTACAGACAAGCTTTTAGTCATCAGCAGCATGCATCGTGCAGCTTGTAAATAAAAATCCTCTCTCTTTGATGTGCGGCTGCCGCTCAGAGAAGTTGATGCCTCTCGCGCCAGACAGCCAACATCAATTAGCCTGGCAAAAAAACGCGGCGCCTTCTGGAAAATTTACACGCAGCCTCTCTCCGCGTCCATATATCTTTCACGAGATATATAAAAGAGCGGCCGAGAAAGCGTGAAATGTGTCTTGTGCTGTGTAAACTGCAAGAGGGTCCCTTTTTTCCATTCGACGCCTTCACTTTTTACATGAAAAAGTGAATAAAAAATCAAACGAGCGGCCCAGCCATTGAACGTGCTCGGCGTGAATTCCAACTTTCCAACCATCGGCGCGTTTGAATTTTATGCGGCGAGAGCAGGGCTTTTAAGCTTGTTAGGATTTTATGAGCCATTGTGTTGCAAATTGATTATATATAAAAAAATTTAACATGAGCAAGTTTGGAAACTCTGTGCTGGATAATTTTAAATTGAGAGCATCAATTCTCTTTCCTGGTTGCTTGAATTCTGAATTCTGAATTTAAGGAAGTAATTATACAAGTTTCTTTGTTATTTTATATCATTTGAATTCACTCCTCTCATGACAATTTTAAAATATATGATTGAATTTTGAAACTTTACAATTTTTTACGTCTCATCATCATCAGATGAAAAATTAAAAAAGTACCCCAATCTACCAAATTTATTTTAATTAAACAATTTGATATTAAAATGCGCTAAGTTATATTATTTATAGAGTTAATTTCTATTTCGATGCAGGAATCTCATTCACAGGTATACTGAATTATTAAATTTTTTATTAGAAATTGCCGAAAAAAAAAATTTTGTATTGATATCTGGTAGGATTGAAATCAATTAAAATTTCATCAAATCATCTGTTTTTTATCACAGGAAAATAAAATAATTTCCAGCTGACTCAAAGTTTCAATAAACACATGGAAAGGATTTTATTAAAAAACTCGTCAATAAGGAAAAACATTCATGTTATTTGAAAATTATTCTAGGGCTTATCTGTAATGTAGTTCAGACTGTATTATTATTTTTGTTTAAAATTTGGATTGAAAAATTTATTATAATTTTTTTTTAATTATAACAAATATTTTTTATATTAAAAAGTAGCTCTTAATGAAAACTTTAAACAAATCATTTAAAGCTCATCATGGATGCATAAATAATTAAATTTCGCTGCTAATTTTCAATGCGAATGGCAAAACTATATTGGCTGTTGGTGAATATATTTTGCCGCGGTGAATTGGGGCCGAGCAAGCAACTCTCGCCGGCGGCCGCGCCTCATTGAAATTCACTTGACGCTGTTTGGGCTGACAATGGTTGCAGCACATAAAATGCGCGAGTGTGACAATGGCTGCCGTTACGGAAGTGCTCAATAGTTGGCATGATGGATCACTTCATTGTTCTAAAAGCAATCTTCAGAGAAAGCCGCGCGACTGGACGGCCTGTCAAAATGACTGAGACGTACACATGACGAGTCGTCGCGGAGAAAGAAATTTTTTGCAGTGTCCATTGTCCGCGCGGCCACTTATAAAGCGCGACTCTCGAAATGTATTCCCTGCTTTATTGATGGCTCGCCGCGGCTATTAACGTAGGCAGCTCACGTGATTAATAAAACACTCGGTGCATACGAAAGTAATGAATATTATTCCGTTGGGCGGAACCTGCTCGCTCGTTTTATTTTCGCGGTTTATCCGTCTGCGTCCATCACTCTCGCGCGCGTTGACAGTTTGACCTTTAAATTAATTTGCGCGCTCTCTCTCGCCGCACCGTGTAATTTATGCTCGGCGCGCTGGAGAATAAAATGCAACGCAACCGCATAATTAATGTGCAATAATCTCGACTGCGCTGCCAAAGGTTAATATCGTTCGAGAATGCGCAGATTGTTTCACAGACGCGGCGGTGTGAATTGTGACGGGTAATCAATTTGTCTTGAGAGACTTCAAAGGTCAAAACTAAACAAGGTGCTTTAGGAAGAATTATAATTTTTACGGCAATGAAAATATTCATGAATATTAAAATTCCAAAATTAAATAAATAGAAATCCTGAAAAAAGTAAATTTAAGATAATTTTCAGCTCACTGCAATTCTAATCTTAAAAATTTTGCAATTTTTTTTGACAATTATTTGCTGGGAAAATTTTCTCTTTGCAATAATGAATGTCCTATAAACCGATTTTACATGATTATCTAAATTTAGGAAAAATACAAGTGTAATTAAGTTGACCTGCGTGCCAAAACATCATTTGGGATTTAGAACATTTTGTTCTCAACAGTTAAAAAATAAAATTTTTAAAAAAAAATTAAATTATTTCATAACATTGCATTGTATTAATATTGGCAGATATTTATTTTTATTTTTATAGTGATGCTTCATATATATAGAGTAAAAAAATCTACGTCTAAAATCCAAATTTATATTAATTAAATTAAATTCAAAATCTATATCGCTGCTTAGATTTCAGATTGATCTGCAAACATTAATTCAAACCATCTGCGGTTCGATCTGCAGATCTTTCTCGAGACTTTGTGTGTGCTCTGCGCTCGTCTGTAGCTCGGCGCGGATCATTGATTAAAATTCCCAGCACCAGTTTATAGTGATTGATGATGCAAGATACAGTGCAATCCACTTGAAATAAAAATTTTATTCCCCATCCGATTCCTTTTGATCCGAGCCGATGAATGGCCGGCTGCGCTCTCGAGATCCGCGCGATTGCTCTCCACACAGAGAGAGTAGTTGAGCCATTTTTGTATAATGGAAAAGAAAGAGACTCGCCGCTTACATACAAATGACGCGAAACAAACCCGCGACTTAGATTCACTCAAATGTATATAAATAAGAGAAAAAGAGCAGCCGTCGCCGGTTGCAGGTTTTTTGCCGCCACTTGCTTGACAAGAATGCTGCGGCTGCGCCTGTTCTGCTGTGCGGTCTTAAATCAATCATCAACCGCTTTTCAAACCGCCTGACAGCCGCTGGACAGCCGAACAATGAAATTAGTAGAAAATAAATCACTAATTACCGTCGGTTGCTTTTTGCTCCGATTGATTTTGACTTCAGTCGCAATACAAAGGTTGGTAATTTTTTGTTGACGGCAATTTGGGCCGATTTCAACAGGACGTTGAAAAAGTTTTGCTTTTCTGGTTTATATTTAAAGAACTATTCAATTAATCTTTTTCAATCGATTGTTAAATAAAAATATATTTTTAATGAAATGAAAAAGTGGGTAAATTCAAGCCTACAAGTTCAGGTTCGATTTGACCATTCATCGAATTCATTGGTTTTTTTTTTAAATAATTGGTATTTAAAAAAAATTTAATCTGAACTATATTTGTGTTTTTATGTATAATATCAGAAATAATTTTTGAGGCTCTTGTTGAGTGTTTAAAGTAAAATTAAATTTTATGAAAGTAGCTGAGGCTGAGAAAAGACCTTTAGAATCAATTATCAAAATTTTATGAAATTATTTATATTAGATAGTGAATTTTATTCGATGTTTGGCACCAACGTCCTCAGTTTCAATCTTAATCACGTTTAACACGAAAGTTAACCACGGTTTTGTGCTACAAATTGCCTCAAACTGCCAGACTGGCATACAATTGTAGAGGGTTGCGGTTGAGCAGGGGATGCAACTTTCTGGCAGGACAAGTTTCTTGTCTCGAGCTTAGTTCCCAAACGCACCGATACGGACAACAAGTGGGTTTTGTGCCAGGTCAGCATGCACCTTTAGGGGGAGTCTTTCCTTCTACATGGTTAGGGATCAAAAGAGGGAGTAAACTGGAAATAAATACCAGGCTCTCCCTGTACAAAAGACATACCGTGATAATTTAAAGAGATGAATTCTATCCTGCTGTCCGCGGAGCAATATTTTTTTTGTATTCCGGCTCCAATATTTTATTAAAATTAAAAATATTATAAAAAGAAACCACTGACCTTATTGAAGGTCAAGCACTGGCTGGTCTTGAGCAGGGTGTGGGTTGATGGGGTCTGCTTTCCCTCTCTGTCTTCAAACCCTGTTCAAAACGTTCCCTTTGATTTCTGCCTTGGTCCTTCAATCTTCTGCGGCTCCACCGACTGAAATTTTAATTGATTTATTAAGAGAAATGGTCACTGAGTAATTAGCAAATGAATTTTACCAAAAATTTCAGAGGGAAAAATACAATATATATAATATGTTGTCATTGACAACATTTTTTAATGAGTTCATACATAATGTATTTTAGTGTAATGTACATTTTGTATGTACCTCATGAAAGATTCTGGTTGGTTTTGGGAACGTTTGAAGCTCGGAACACCGTCTTCAGCCTTGGCCTCAGGACCTCCAATGGTCTTGAAGGACGGTAGCGGCCCGCAAGAACTTATTATGGGAAAAAGAGTCTCGAGAAGGCACGAATGAACACACTATGAACAATCCGCTGAACTTGGGCCTTGAACTGGCTGCACGCGCTGATGGCTCAAGGTAATAAGACATAAGACTGTAACAACAACAACAAAGGAGTACCAACATAACAAATTTTTACATTGAAATTAATTCCGCAAACTGTTTGAATAATTCTGATTTCCAGTATCTTAAATTGCAAAGAATTGTATTGTAAATTTTAAAATCAATCAATTTTGGATTTTAGTAGTGGCCAAATTATAAAATTTACAGCGCTGTTGTATTTTGTAAAGTTGCCTACATCTGCAATGAATTTTAGCTGCCTGTGATTCAATCAAAATTGGCGGAATCATGTGAAAATTTGAAATAAATATCGACAAAATAATATAATAATTCACATAATTCAAAACGCATTAATCAATTCAAAAGCGGGGATTAAAATGGTGTCAAAAAGAAAAAAACAGTTGAATATTTTGGGGTAAAAACGGTAACTCATTCCATACTGTGGCTCAGATTAAATCTTCTTTCAAAAGTACTTTCAATTTATACCATTAATTTTTTTTGCGATTAAAAGCCTTATTTTCAACTTTTCATGTAAAATATTCATTCCACTCCATTTAACAGATATATTTCACAATTGGTAGACTGGAAATTATTTTTGGCCAGCAACTCCGGGCGAATAACATCTCGCGCGCATATAATTTTGAATTGATATGGAGAGGCGAGCACTCGCGGCGAGATGCAGGCTGCATGGGAATGAACGCAGCGCGGCGGCATCCTAAATAAGCTGTGAATTCTTAATTCACAGGACGTTTACAGTGTTTTATGGCTATGAAGGCTGACGCTGGCTGCATAAACAAAATAAAATTATGCCGCTCTCTCATACATATACGCACCACGGAGCAGACTGTCGCCTTTCACAGCATGGCTGCGCCGCGCGGCGAACTTCAAACGATGGCAAATATTTTTCTGTTAGTGTTGACACAAGCAACTCATCGGCTGTAAATTTCAAGTGAGAAGAAGTGCCAGTGAAAACGTTTTCTGAATGAAGACGTGCCCGTTGTTGTGAATAAATATTTCTGCCCAACTGATAACACGATGAAGCTTGGCTGATGCCCAATATAAGATTATATAATTTTAATTAATACTAGTGTCGTTGTAAGCACTGAATCGTCACATAGATTTTTAGAAAATTTACAAATGAAAAGAAAAAAATAGCAGGGAAAAGTAGAAAATTTATATCTAGATCAGTAATGTGTAACATTTTGGAGTTTTAATTTATTTAAAAAGAGGTTTTTGTTAGAAATTTGGGGAGATGACTTTTAATTTTTATGAAATATGAAGGCACATAAAATTATTTTGAATTATTTTTGTTCTTATGATATAAATTTTTTGTTCGGAGTGGAGATTGAAAGGATTGGATATAATAATTTTAATAAATAAAATGAAATTTTTGTTTCAAATAACAAAACTTATTTGATAGAGAAGAACTGAAAGTGAAATTAGAGATTTTCCACATAAAAAAAAATTAATTTTGTCAGAAAAAGCAGCGCTACCGGTTTCGGACACAGTCGGTGCCCTTTTTCATGATCAGAACTTACTTAATAAAAAAATTTAAAAATAGTTTCACCTAAATGGTTTGCAACTAAATGGCTTATTCTCGTTCATTTTTCAGAAATTCAATTTTTTTATTCCATATAGCAGTTTTTTTGTTTTTTGTTTTGACACTTTATAATTTCAAAGTCTATACGGTGGCCGCCTCTTGGCCCTCTTGTAGAGAGGCTGCAGTGGCACCAGTTAAAGGCAGATTGAGTGACAGGCAGGACAGACAGAGACGCAAACCTTGTGTTTCCAGAGTGTGTGCTAATTGACAATAAGCAGCTGCATTTCAACATCGCACTTGAGCTGGGCTGCATTGTGGGAACGCGAATTGACAGCTACAATGTACACAACACAAGAGATGAGAGGGCAATTTAGGCATTTGAGCGTGCAGGGGGTGCAACGTGTTTTTCAAACACGCGCGCTTATTTGCCCCTGGCCTGTCAACGTTGCGTCAACAAAGTACAACAGATAAAATAATAGTCGACGCAATAAGTTGGGACGCCACCCTCTGTCGATCAACAACAACTACGGCCAAATTGCTCGTAAGCCTGTTTGGAAATCAAAGTCGCGATATTTCAATTTCGCCCTTTGATCTTGTAGCCAAGTATAGAGCGAGACTGCGTTTTTTTTTTAATCCCGATCCCCTTGCGGCGGCGAATTCTCAATGCGAAAGCAAATTGGCGATGACGGGATGATTTTTTAGCGCCACCGTGTCCGGACCGTTTTGTGCAGCCATCAAAGGAGCAGTAACGAGACTTGCCATTTTTCAGGATTATCCTTAAGCCTTTTTATTTTGAGCGCGCAGATAAGTGGATTCTGGAATGTAATTTGTCATGGTTGATGAAAAATGTAAAGAGACTAGTGAATAAAAATCAAACCGATGGATGGCGGATTAAATAAAGGGATTTTTCATAATATGATGGCAGACAAATGGAAAAGATTTATAGTTTGATGAATTTAAATATTATTTAAAATTTTTTTTAGTCATTGAATGATGAAAATTTTTAATTTCAAATTAAAAATAGGCATGATCATTCTCTTATAAAAATTTAAAAAAATTCATAAGACATTTTTTAATTAAATTTCATATTAAACCTGTTTATTTTTATTCTGATTTTCTATAATAATAATAAAAAAAATATGTCGATATCAGTCTTCAAAAATCAAAAGCTTATTCAATATTTTTATTGAATGTCTACATTTAATGAGCATGAAATCAGATCCGGAGCGCCTGGAATATCTACGAGAAAATCAAAGAGGCGTTCTAGAAGCTCTTGAGAAATGATAAATTATTTTAAAATTTATATTATTCTTTGACTAATAATAAGAACATTTAGTTCCTTTAATATAATTTCTACTACATTTAATAGCTGTAAAAAATTTGCGGTTAAAACCCATGTCAATGTGTTACTTTTTAGCTTATTAAAAATTTAGCACATATGGAGAAAGTTTGAAAAATAGTTTCTCTCTTGAATTTGAATTTAACAAATAAAATTTTGTCATTCCATTATTTCTTTAAAATACCATCTCTATTATTTCATCCACAGAAATATTTGAACCAAATCTTTGCCCAAATCTAATTCTTTCCTTGACTGACACGTACATGAGGAAACAAGAATTTTTGGTCTTTGTTCTCGCCTGGCAACAATATTATTTTCATGTATAGGGTGCCTCTTTCCTTGCATAATGCAATTCTCCCCTGGAGAGCTATTCCAAGCTTGGGTGTTGTTGTAAATACAGCACAGGGATGGCCATAAACAACTCCAATTTGAAGCTGTCAGGAGAGGGAAAAGAAAAGTTTCTCCGCGATTAAAAATTCAGGCGCCTGTCCGATTGTAAAATTTAATTAAGCTCGGTGCAATTCCGTCTGTGCAACCTTCCTTTTATAATAGGGGCTGTAAACTAGACCTGCAGGTATAAACGTGTGTTTTATGAGGTTTTACAATGCAGTGCGCGCGGCGTGTGTGAAGTTTTATGCACCCCGAATAACTTGACGCGGCGGCCCAGGAAAAGAGACACATGTTGGTTCAGTTTATGGTAGCCTAGCTCCTTTTATATTCACTCTCTTTGTGCAGCACCAGGGCCAATTTATGGCACGCCTCTAGGCAGACAACTATTGTTTAAGCCTCTCTAAACAACCATTAAGGCATAATTCTGTGTGTTTGTTTGCGACTTGAATATAATTGCTCAATATATCAAAAAATCCGCCCTGGCGCGTTGGTAAAATTGTTTGTTCGCCACGGGGGGGCTTTTTCTTTGAAGTTGCTGGGACGCGCCTTCCTTGGAAATTTCCTGCCTGTTTTCGCTCTGTACAAAAAGTTCAAAAGGAACATTTTGGCAAAAAAAAGTACATAGTAGAGGACAAAATAAAATTGAAAACACAAACAGCACAGTATTTTTTCAACTGCACAATTTACACAAATTATTCCACAAAGGAATTTAACGTGGATTCAGAAACTGAGCGAGGTAACCAATCATGCTTATGGTTTTTGATACGAAAATTTTATCTTTTGTCTCCTGGTTTAATTTTTGAGAGGAATCCACTTTTTCCATGTAAAAACATGCCTCATTTCTACCTTAACACTAATTTTTGTGTATTTTTCTTGATAAAAGGATCAAAGATGAAATTTAATATAAAAGGAACAAAATTTCCTATTATGACTTTGAACTACTACTTCAAATTTGTCCACTTTTCACTGTTGCTTGTGTTATAAACTCGCTGGGTGTCAGAGCCAATTTAACAAAATTAATGCGTCCGCCTCACATGTATCCTTAATGCATAATAAAACTTAAATTTATGATGTCACTTTTATTATACATGAGAAGGGCCTGCGCTTTTTATTATTATTTCAGCGCGCAAATTGAGAAGCTTTTTGGGAGTACGCGCGAGAGCAGATTTTGATTGATATCTTTTTAGCAAAGCACCATCATCATCAACAACAAGGGAGGTCCCTTAAGTAGAAAAGAGCCTGTGGCTAGAAATCTTCCATATACTTATTTATATGACAAGGCGGTCACATCAAAGGGCCCATCATCAAGTCGTATACCAGCCCTGCGGAGAGGGGCAATAATGAAGAGAGGCTTATTACGCGCATCTCGCTTGCCACTTAACAATATATAAAATTTTACAACTTTTGACAATTGCGTCTATTTATAGTGGAATAGACTAACATACAGCAGATGACCTAGAAGATTTCAGTTTTATTCAGTAGTATAGAAGGGTGAAAGAAGTATACATTCTACGGCGGAATAACCACCACACTTTTTTGGAGAGGGATGATGCGGCCGGCCGGCCGGCCGCGCGGGGGCGGAGCCTAATTATTTCGAGCGTTGTCGAAAGGGTTGGAGCGCGACCGACTGACCACGGCGATTTTTACCTGGCGAGGATATAGGGCGCGGGCGGCAGGCGGCGGTGCGTTCGGCGGCCGACTTTAGTTGCCAGCCTATAAAAAAATATATTTACGCGTTTCTGGTCACGGGAATTTTCACCTGGTG